ATTATTTAATTGATTTTACTAAGATTTTTTTTAATGTTTAAATGCCTAACTTAAAAATGTTTTTATTTATTTTTTCATATTAAATAAAAATGCTGCTATAAAGTATTTACAACCTGCATCACTTCCTCTGTAAGTGATAAAATTTGACTGTGATTTTTTTTAACCGTTAATTTAAAACTATATTACATGTAAGAGCTATTTTTATTTTCATATGTTGGTAGATATCAGTTCTCTCTGATATTTACCACCATTCCTTATTTCTATCATTGTAGATTTTATCCTGATTTTTTACATTTATTTTTAAATTTTTCCTCTTTTTTTTTTACATCAAGTTTTTACTTTTTTGTGCCTCTTGGCCTTTGGTCAGATTAAGTCATTTCTGGTTAGATTTTTGTCCTTAAAATGGGCCAAAATATTTTTAATTAATTTGTTTTAATTTTAGTTTTAATTTTATTCATTTGTTCTATTTATTTTATTCTTAATTTTATTCAATTGTCATATTTAATTTATAATCTCATTGATCTGTTCTATTTATTTTATTTTTATATTTCTGTGATTCCCTATCTCAGTGAAAAAGATACAAAACATTTAACAATTTAAAGGGGAAACAGTTTGAATTACTTATATAATTGTTTAATAACTAGATATTAAAAATAGGTATTTTTGATTTTTTCTGGAGATACTCTACTCTAATGCTCCAAAAAAAAAATTATTGTCTTTTAGATGAAAAAAAAGGGGGTAAAGTTTATTACAACAATTGATTGCCAAATAGTGTATATGTGAGCATGAATTATGTTACAAAAATTTATTTATTGCAATTATGATTGCAAAATAGTGTATATGTCACCATGAAAGACCAAAATTAATGAATGGTGTCATATTTGTTAAATATCATTTAATCACTAATTTTTATATCTGTAATATTTTCAATATAGTATACATTTTCCATAATTTTGTATGTGATTTTAACTCATTCCGTACTAGTGATAGTATAGTTAACATTAATCAATGTTAATGTCATTTAAAGTTTTTAAACTGTTCTTGAAAAGTATCGGGAAAAGTTGCCAAATATTATATACATCCCTATACCTGCAATCTTTTTTTGCCTAATAACTCGGCATGGTGAAATTTCATGAAATACGAGGTTTGTTAATAAAGTAGTTGCAATCTAGTTCTGAATGATGCATAAGATCTGACATGTCCAAAAAAAAACATATGATAGCAGTCTGATGATGCTGATATAACTTTTAACATGTGGAAATTTAAAGAAATGATATAATGAAGTGTATAACTGAAGTGCTGTGCTCCTTTGAAGTTACAGTTTTATTTCTACCTTTCTAAATTATGTTTACAAAAGATGATCAACCTTTGTGCATAACATTTGGGGTTGAACTAAGAAAACGACTAAACTGCATCTAAATGTTATCCTGGATTGAACAATGGATCAAAGTAATTTGACCAAGTCAGAATGAGACTGTGGATTCGTATCACATAGGCTACCTCTTCCTCAACATGAAATTAGCAATGCTCCTGAAGGAATTAGCTCCTCTTCCTCTGCATAAGTTGACTACCTACAGAATGCCATATAGAAAGAGTTACTACATCCTGATTTATATCTCAATGAAAAAAATTATCCCACTAATTGGAATCCATTCACCACCTGTGGAAATTACTTTGGCTGGTATCTTCTTTGGCAGATGTCTTCTGTACTCTCCCCACTGAATTAAAAGAACCCCTCTGAGATTTTTGTGTTTGCAAGCTCATGTACCAAAGTGTTATCTGTGCTCTGAATTTAACTGCTCACACTGTAGTAGGATAGGGACGCTATTCACTGCCATCAATACTTACTTGCCAAGGATATCCTACTGCTTTCCCACATTTTCCTGAAGGTACTAAACTTTAGTGATTGAAAAGGTACTAAACTTTGGTGATTTTGCTTCAAGTTCATTTACAAGCTTTCCATCTATGTTGCCTTTAATTTATTTACAACCTTCGTATTTACTCCTAAATAATCATCTTCACTTCTTTGTAGAGTAAATTTCCATTTCTGGAAAATATAATATTAATGATTTTCGAAATCGGGAATATCAATTAGGAATAGAGAACTTTTTTTCGAAATCGCTACTTTAAAATTTTAAAATTGTATTGAAAGAAAAGCAAAAGTTATTAAAGACAAACTCTAATTTAGGTGTTAAGAATTATTCGAAAAAATTGATGAAATCTTAATCGAAGCGTCGTGACTATTTGAAAAGTAATTAGTATTGTATTGGGTGACTTTTCCTGACATATTTGCGGATAAAATGTTTAAACTTCATGTTGATACTCTGATGTTCTTTAGAAAACCAACGTATTTCAATTATTGTATTTATCAAATAATTGGTGAAGTATAAGCATCTTGTTATGTGTGGAAATTTTACATTTTTATGTCAAAGTTGCACATTATTTATTTTTAATTAGTAATGTAATATTTTAATATTTGTGTCTTGTTTGCATTTCTGTGATAAAATTGGTGTTGAAATAAAAGTTTTTGCTGTGAACGGATTTTATTGTTTTAATTATGTAACAAAGTGTAATTACATTATAAAAGCAAAACAATCCTTCCTGTAGTGTTGGTTACCGCTAGTCTTATATGGAAAACATAAAATCCTATCACCAATGTTATCCCATAAGCCAGCTTTCATCGGATTGGACAACATTTGTAATAATTATTTAACGTTTAAAAAGATATTTTACACATTTTTGCAAAGCAGTTGCCTGATTAAAAGTATAGCTAGACGATCACGATTTTGAATAACAAAGAACGGGAAAATACTTGTCTCTTAAGTCTTTGATAGTTTTATGGCATTATGAAGATTAGGGATGTTCTTATTTTTCAACGTTTTAAAAGTTTTGCTCTCACACCCTTATCTTGTTTCAATCAAAACAAAATCGATGTTAAAATATTGCAATTTTTGCCCAAAAAGCAATTATTAGGGAGGCTCTTATTTTTCAAATTCTTAACAGTTTAGCTCCTACCCCTTAATTTTATTTCAATCAACAAAAAAGTGATTGGTGGAAAATTATAGGGTTAATCAGACAACTCTAAGGGACCCGCATCGATGATGAAATATTCTAATTTTTGTCCCAAAAGTAATTTTTCATGGGATTTCCTTCATGAGAGATTCATTTCAAGATTTATGTCATTGTGTGGGCGTGAATTTAAAAATTAATCTTCATAATTTAAAATATATATTAAGCTTTTCTTAAGTCCTACTTTTCGATGAATAAAGCTATTATATTATAGTGTTAATTTTAGTTAAATAGGGAAGAAAAGTATATTGAATATTTAGGGCAGTTAACATAAATAATCGAATTTCGTTTCTGTTAACGTGACCTCTTAAAATGTTACCATACAAAAAATTTTCAATCATGTCTCGAAAAGGTATGTCTTGAGAGTAAATATGCTATTGAGCTGAACTGAAAAGTGATATAAGTGTTGTCACCACAAAATATAACTTTGATTTATGTTAAACGTAATGAAACTATTATGACTACATTTTTTCTTCGGCAGTAAGAAAAATACACCAAAATTGTAAATGTTTCTTCTTATGTCCCGTTCACATGCAAGAAAGCACTAATTGTTCAATCGATATAGAGTGTAAGTATTCTTACATCCAGTCATGATAATACAATATTGTTTTTTCTAACAGTATTTATTTATACACTCTGTGTTTTCGTGTTTATTTTCCTTCATGCTTACGTGCTATAAATAGAATGTGAATATGACTATCCGTTTAAAAGTTGGCTGCAGAGTGGAAGTATTTCCATTTATAAAAATATTTTAAAGCAAGACCTCTCTCCTTCTGACTATTAGGCTACAGCATTTCAAATAAATAAGCAAAAAAAAAATTTTTGCTGGTAATACTAGGAGACTCCGCTCGCCAACACCAGTGCTGGCCTCTTATTCATTTTTTTCTTTTCCCTTAAAATTCAGTATTTTTCAACAAAATAAATTTTTTGATTATAAATTATTATAATTTTGTGAGTAGATTAATTGAAACAAAATGAACGATTACTTTGATTTGAGAAATAATCCACTATACTTGGAAAAAAAATATTTGAACTTAGAAATGTGTGGTTCAATAAGAAGTAATTTTACTTGTTAACGACAACCTTATATTGTATTTTAGTACAAATTACGAAAGGTTTTTATCCTTCTTAAAACATTTGTATTTTTTAAACGATTTCGATATAAATGTTAGGGTTTGTATCTGGCAATATCAGATCGCTTTCTCTTATTTATATTTATCCTTTTTTTAACTTTTGGCATCAAGTCAAGCGCGAGCTATTATTAAATGGATTAAAATGATCTCAAGAGAGAGAAGTTTTTTTTAACAATGGAAAATTAATTATTATTGAAAGAAACAATTTTAAAAAAATCGGGAAAAAGCTCTTAAAATTGCAATATTAATCTTAAAATTGCAAGCTCTAATAGTTGCAATAGCAAACTGGAATTTCGAAAAGAAAAAAAAAACTCAACGTAAGTTTTAATTTTAAAATGATGGCCCCTTCAGCTTATAAAAACTTCAACTCTTGTAGCTACATTTTAGCGGGCAATAAATCGGCTAAAGTTTCTTTTTTTTTTTAAATTCTTGATTTTAACAATTTTAATTTCTCCAACTAATAATTGAATCTTAAATTAAATTTGTTTTTTATTACATCGAATTTCTTGTACCTATTTTTACACACCTTCGCACTTTCAAGTTTCTTCTGCAAGTTTGACCTGATAAGTTTTGCACAGCAAAACAGAATGCTAAATTAAATGGATTAAATGAATAATTAAATAGATTAAATTAATTATCTTGCTACGATATAAGAACAAATCAAAAAGCCCACTTATTTTTATTTATTTTATTTACTTTTTTTATTATTTTATTTTTTTTGGTAATTTATTTTTATTTACCGTATGTTATTTTGTATTTGTATGTTATTTTGCATAATTCGTATCATGAGACATCTAATGTAAAATAAAATTATTTATTGTCGTTTTTTTATGTTAGATACAGATATGTATGGAAAATATATATTAAATATATTAACATGAGAGAAAGTGCTTGCAGATGTACAAAGCTAAGACACAATGATGAAGATCTGAAGTTCCTAAATCCATCCAACCCCATAGTATATAGAGATGAATACCTTTAAAGATGTTGATTTAAACATTTTCTTTGGATGTTAAAGATGAACTTTCTTTAAGATCAAAGAATAGTAAACCACATTTTCATCACGGAACAGTTATCAGCCACGAGGAGTGGGTAATTTGTCCGTTACCTAAGTAAGCAATAAAACAAAAAGTTAACAAAATTAAATATCTATAAAATTAAAATTCTGTACAGGATTTATAACACTGGAGAGCAATTTTCTGTGCATTTATACAAATGCTTGATCTTGCCTAATTCAGGTGTGAGGATACAGAGTTTTTTTTTCTTTTAAGATAGTTTTAGTCTAGTTTTTGTCAAAATGTACAAGTTTAAAAAACGTTTTCCTATAGCAGTGGTCGAGTAAATGTTGCGGCAAACTTCTAGGGGAGTCAGGGTACATCATCAGGACTAAAATTGTATAGGAACCCTAGCCTGAAATGTCACCGGACGCGGCTAGGGGCGCTTCCCCTAAAAAAAATTCTGTTCAGGAGCCCACGTAAAAGCAGTTCATAATAGGAAAGCGTACCTAACAGCGTATTTCCGGAGATGGGTTCCTATGCAATTTTAACCCTAATGATGTGCCCAAACCCCTCACAATTTATCGCAACAGTTATGTGACCCCTATTATATATAAAAATTTCAAACTTAAACATTTCGTCAAAAAATGTAATTAAAAAAAAAACTGTAGCTTGGAAAGAGAAGCCGATTGCTGATTTGAAATCAACAATGCTAAGTAAAAGTATTTATATTTAATTTATCAAAAAATATCACTAATATTTTTTAAAAATTTTATCAATCAAAAACTATCAATAATAATCAAAAAACATTTTTTGCACTTGTATAAATATAAATCGCACTTATTTTCGATCAACTTTTATGTATAGGAAATCGTTAATATTTTTCTTTCCGTAATATTTTAACTCCATTTTTTTAAGTTGTCAAAAGAGCTCCCCCCCCCCCATATTTTGAAAACATACCAGTATCAAACTTTCCTTTATTAGTCTAACGTGCTTATGATTTTATAAGTTTGAACTTGAGAAAATGTTTAATGATGAAAAATAAATTTTAAAAATTAAAGTTGAATTATAACTTATATTAATGTCATGCTCATGACGATGACGACCATGTCGATAATCTTTGTGTGTGCCAGTCTAGTTCCTCGTATGACAGTCTCTATGAACATTGTTTTGTGTCTAGTTTTACACAATGTCCATACAAGACCCTTAATATATAATGTGAATTCCGCGTACTGTTGTAGTTTTACTTAAAAGATCACTATTATGCTTGTTTTAATTTACGACTTCTAAGAAAAGCTTTAACTCTTGGAAAATTTCATTATTTTTAGTTTCTTTAAGCCGCTTTTCCTGTTTCTTCCAACTTCATTAAGCTCAGAGATGGAAGGCATTTGTCGATTTATGTGCCAGTTTAATTACTGTTTATTATTTTCTGATGCCCAGTGTGCTGTTTGTTTGTTATATTTCTTTTGAAAAAATAATCTCTTAAGTTTTGATTTCAAACCAAAGAACTATATTGTGCAACTATATTTGCTGCTTAGTTATTAGCTCGTTTTATATTTAAAGCAAAACGGTTTCTTACTATTGGTTTGATAAAATTCCCAACATTATTCAAATGTATTATTCAGCAAATTTTTTTTCATAATTTGTAGTTTAATTTAATTTCTTTCTTAATAATTCATTAACCCTTTCGTGCCACTAAAATATAAATATGCCATTTAACAGCACTCTACGTACCTTAGATACGCCACTCTGATTTAGCTAAATAATTCGAGCATAATGGACAACTAGTAAAATTTTTATTTTGTGACGAAGCTAAGTTAACAGAGTTTAATGCCGAAACGTAAATTATTCCCTCGCTTCATCACTGTTCTGAATATAAACAAAAACCGTTTCTGAATCCTGTAAAGAGGTTTTCCCTTTCTCGAACATACACAAAGCAGAGCTTGTTGTGTAATAGAACTAGATGAACCTCTTTCCTTGTTTCAGTGTTTACCTTACTTTTGAGGCAAATAAAAGCATTAAAACCGAAGCAAATCACCTGATCATTGGTTTATACTAAAAAAAACTACTGTACACAGTAGAATACCGTATCTTCAGATTGCCTCTGCCTAATAATTTTTTAAAGAATAAAAACTGAGAAATTGATAAAGATAAAATTAATATTTTACATGCAAGTGTTATTTGGTTAAATTTACGCATGTTGACCTCAAATTAAATATTAATCTATTGAATTATGATAAAACACTTGTCTCACCAAAATTGGATAAATGCCTAAGCGTTCTAAATATTTTCGGCTAAATTCTTTCAAAGCACATCTCGGCAGAAAAATTTAAAAATATATTTAGTAAAAGAAATCATGTTTACCATTGTCTTCATTGAAAATTAATAGTGATATGCTTTGGCAAGTCCAACACCATGTCCATGTCCATAAACTCCATGACCATAAGGACCATGCCCATATGCGCCATGTCCGTAAGCACCATGGCCATAAGCTCCGTGTCCATAAGGACCATGACCGTAAGCTCCGTGTCCATAAGGACCATGACCGTAAGCTCCATGTGCTACGTGTGTTGCATAGCCAACATGAGCAGGGGCTGCAGCATAAACTGGAGCAGCAACGTGGGCAGCGTGTACAACTGGACCAACGTGTTTAACAGCTACTGGAGCAGCATATGCCACTGGAGCAACATGTTTGACTGCGACTGGAGCAACTGGAACTCCATAGGGGCTTGCAATTACTGCAGCTGCTGGAGCACTTGCAGCGGTTCCTGGTTCGTTAGTCTTTATTGCAGCTCGGAAACCGTGGTGATCAGCAACGTATTCAACTCGTCTTGCTCGACCATCGATGTCATGGATGGTGTAAGCTCCTTTCTTGTTGCCATGTCCATCACCGACTTCGTATCGTCCATTGCTGGCACCTTTTCCGTCAACGATGTCATAGTTGAAAGCGTAATTGCCTAAGTTCTGAATAAATATCATGGATTGAGAATTCAGTAAAATATGCAAAATATTATTTTATAAAAATACTTTTTTTTTACAAAAAATTTCGATTTTTTTTTTTTTTTTTTTTTTTTTTTTTAAAGGAAGTAATTTTTGATCAAATGGTAATAAAAATATTCCTTCTCAAAATTTAAATATACTCGTATCTAGAGATACATTTAAAGTAATTTTAAAACTTTTTTTAAGGAATTTAAACTATTTTATAATTTGAAACTTTTAAGAAATTAAAGGCTTGTCTTTAATTGTAAATTCAGTTTTTTTATTGGTTTGTGAAATATAATATCTCAAATTTTTATCTTTTTCAAGAATTATTAAAATTAGGTATTAATGAAACTCACGTTTAAATCTGTGTTTATTTTGAACTTCTTGAGAGAATGCTATACCACGGGAGAAACTTTTCATCGCAAATTCTGTTTCACCTCCATAGGTAATTTGAAATACAGAAAAAGTAAATAAAGGCAAACTTAAAGTAAGTCATGCAGTTTCACTTGCAGAAGAAAAAAATTCAAAATATCAAAATGCAAACAAACTATTAGAAGAGAACTTCCCAATTGCGTAATCCTAACTTATCCTGTCATAATTTGCTTTCATTTTGAAAATTAAGGCAGGGATAGCCTGGTTGGTAGGACATTTGGCTCATGTTCGTGAGAACGTGAGTTTGAATCCCACCTGTTGTTGGCTGGTGAGCGTTAAATCTGTAGGGGTCACAAAGTCCTCCAAGTTCCTGTAAGTAATCAATACCTATGAGGGGCACTGAATTGGAGATTGATCGTTTTCTGGTTCGGGTCAATATTATGATCTGTGGATGAATGAATGGAGTATGATTGCGTCCTCCCTGTAAAACGGGCTGTGACGTGTGTGTGGTTGGCAAAAGATGACTGAAAAACAAGAAACACGCCCTCTGCCTTAGTTTGCTTGATTTTCCAAGCAGGCTTGCTGGTATTGGCAAGTAGCATAAGAAACAACAACAACATTTTAAAAATTTCTTTCCAGCATTTCAAACTACATGCTTTGAAACTCTAGGTTTGCCCAAACTCACCTTTTCTATACTTTAATTTTTAAAAAACATATGGAGGAGAAAGATAATTTGCAATGAAAAATTTCTCCCATGGTATACCGTCCTCTTAAGCTTTTTAACTAAATAATGTATAATATGTTAGAAAGAAGAAACGTTTTCAATAATTCTAACTATGAACAAAAGCCTTAACAGTAAGAAACAAAAGTTGGAACGAAATTATTACTTACAGCGTCTCTCAAAGCCTACTAAATTTAAGACTATCTCAAACGCTCTAAATTAAAAATTATTTTAACATCTTCGACATTTGAATAAGTTCAAGTCCTAATCGTCAAGAAAAAAGACTTATTTAAGTAAAAGTATTCTTCATTAAGTAAAATATTTTTTACAAAATAAATATTTTTCCGTAAGTAAGAGATAAAAATAAAATGTTAAATGTTTTAAAATATTATATAATATAGAAAAATATTTTTTACATCCTGATGCCTGGAACTAACACTTGAACCTGTGTGAACCAAGCCGCTGGCATGAACGGCAACAGCTACTAGAGCAAGAACAAGGACCTAAAATAAATAAAATTAAAGAAAAATTATATCCCAAAAAATTAATACAATTATTTTAATAAAATTTTGTAAATGATATAGGGTTCTCAGGGATCTGTCCAGACGTTTTGTGAAAGGTCCGGTTTTCGTGAAACTGTGAAAAAATTACTTTCTTTCAGCCAGGGTCCGCTTTTATGAATTTGTGCAAATAGGGTCCGGTTATTGCAAAAAACTTTTTCAAAAAGTTTTTAAATTGTAAATAGATAAAAGATGATGCTCGGCACTGTAAAATTATAATAAAAAAAATTAAATTTTCAAAAATAAACAGCAATTGCTGCTTCTAAATTAGAGATGCAACAATACAAATATTTGGTATTTAGCTTATACTGCTGAAAGCAGAATATTAATTTCGGACGAATAATGGAAGAATCGTCTGCCGAAGACAAAACTTAATTCGTTTACATCCATCTTTCTTGTTTTCTGTCCTGGGAAGGGTTTATTCGATTAACAAAACAATAATGACGATAAAAAAATTTGTGAAGGGTCCGATTAAAAGAAAAATCATTTTGTGAGGGGTCCGTTTTTATGAAAAGATATTTTGTGAAGGGTCCGTTAACGGACCCAAATTTCTTCTATACAGACCCCTGGTTCTACTCCTTAAATTATATCTATACATGCTATTAGTTTTATGTATTAACCTTTATAAAAGTTTTATAAGATTGGTATGCAATTCTCATTCCTTTCAATTTGAATTTAAAATTTAGATAGAAAAAAAAAAACTATATTCAAGGGTCTTACCCAGATAACATTGTAAGGTTGATTTTATTGTTGCAACAATTTATCACAAAATCGCAACGAGGTTTATAAATGATTAGCAAATAAACCATGCAAACTTGAATCAATGTTAAACTTAAATATGCTAATTTTTACTCTGTGAGGTTTCAAAAAAGCCGTTTTATGTCAAAATTGAATCTTAAAACACTAATATTCATTAAAAAATATTTGCACTTGAGAACGAACCCTAATATAACTAGGGGGGAAAGTTCAAAAACAAGGTTTGCAATAAAAGCTAAGAAATTATAATTTTTTGCAAAGGTTTATACATGTCTTTATTCAATCTTTAAGGAGATAATATTGGCATTGTAGCATTTGTGTTTTGTAGGAATAACAATTAACTAGTTAACCTCATTGTGTTCATCAAAAGAAACAGCAAATACAACGTTTACAGTAAAATTGCTTGCTATCTGGGTAGTTAAAATTTTTAAGAAAGACATCAAGCTCGTTTTTAATGTTTTATTTATTTAATATTTAAAAAGAATAATATTCTTTCAGTTCTTAACATTTTATTAAAAAGAAAAATCTCTCTTAACTTATTTTAACTTTTAAAAAAAGTTATAACAATAATTTTATTCATTTTTATTAAAACAATATACATGATTAGTTAGGATAATTTTAAAAAACCTAACTAATTTATTATTGAAAAATTCCATTAGAATAAATATATTTTCATTGAAGTGTTGTACTATTTCAATAAAAATTATTAACTTACAGTTAACTTACTTAATTTTTTCTCACTTTAAATGAAGAATAATTATTTATCCTGGTTGTTTAATTCATTTGATAAAAATGGCAGATGTGCTAAAAATTTTGCTTAAATTAAAAATATATATATAATAATACGACCTATCAGATTATTTATTTAAATTATATTTAAGTTTTATTGCGAGAAAACTTTAAAATTATTGAATATGATATGCTTAGATGCTGAAATTAACAAAACTCAAAAATATGATTCGATTAAAATTTATTTAATTTATTTTCTGACAGTAAAATCTAGTATAAATTTGAATTAAAATAACGCAAGTTTTTTAAATATTTTTATTGATAAAATGAAATTTAAGTATCAGTAATGAAGAGATCGAGGAATTTTAAGTTAGGAGGAGTTTTATAAGTAATAACATTCGTAGTTGATTAAAGTTTGAAAGTTGTTGAAGAAACACAAATATTTTTTTTTTTTCATAAAAACTCATTTCAGGAAAGAGCGATTGTTTCGCGCTTAAATTTATGAAATAAATAAAATATTTAATTTAAGTACATAATAGTATTTCCAGCTTTATGGAACCAAACTTCAACAATTAAATACAATAAATAATAATAATGCACTTACAATAATAAAAAAGTAAAAAATGAAATATTTAAAACTGCAATGTTTTAAATATTTCTAAGACAGCTTCAAAGAAAATAAGAACAAATAAACTTAATTTAAATCGTTTTGTAAAACTGCTAATGAAATAATAAATAAAATTATTTCTAACTTTGAACTTCGAAAAAAATAAAAATTGATAGAAGTTTTACAGAGAAAAGAAAACATGCACAGTTTCAATTTTAAGGAAAAATTTAAAAACTTCAACAAATTTTTTTTTTAAATGTCAATGTTTATTCGAAAAAAAAGTTCATAATACTATAATCCATAATTGCTGAAAAACACAGAAATAATTGTTTGTTTTTCCTAAAATGCATTACTAAGAAACATGAATTTCGAAAAAAATGGGATTGTACAGTGTAGTTTGAACTAGCACTTGTTATATTCATGTTTAAATTAAGTTATATAAAATAAGCAATACATGACTTATTTTTTAGTATTTCCAATTTCAACTAACCAAATTTAGAATAATAATACTTAAAATAAAAATATAAGATTTAAAAAACAGCAAACATTGCAAGATTTAGGAAGACAAAAAAAATTATTTAACATCATAGTTTAATTTAACATCAAAAAAAAAATAATAATAATAAATTTAATATGCATCCCTATGTTTTGTTAAATTACCCAAATGGAATTATACAAAAAATTAAATTCTTTAATTAGAATTAAAAATTACTTAGAAATTATGAATATGGTCGGAGACAAAAAGAAAAGAAAAGGTTCTTCTATGGGTAAAAATAAAACAACTTACTTTGGAGATCATTTTGGTATAAATGTGTGAGAATGCAAAACGTTCTGATTGCTTTTTACCATCGACTTCTGAGTCTTATATACTATTCTCAATCGCCGAAGAAAAAGACCTTGCACTATACAGGTCTGAAAACAAAGAATAAAAAAACGGGTAATAATCGAAAGCACTACTTTCAATCTTTAACAAAGGCCCCTAACATAAGGGAAATCAAGTTAAGCCTCAAGAAAAAAAAAAAACATTCTCAGAAAACTGGGTGGGTATGTTGTTAAAAGAATATGAAACACCGGTAATTTTAATCTTGTTTATTTACTTCTTAACTTTCCATTTCCTACTTTTTTTCTCCTCCTTTATTTTCGATGAATATCTTCACTAGTATGGTATGCAGACGATTGCTCAGCGATATCCTTCACCTTTGAATTCTGTTAGTTAAGGGAAATTCTGTTCGAAGAATGGACTAGTTAGAAATTTTCTTTCATTAGTAACTAATACCGATTTTATCAGCTGATTTTATTTTAAACAACAGTAATGAAGCATTATCGAAAATTTTGATGATAATTGTTATAAAACATTTTATTGTTTGTTTTAGAAAGTAGTTCGTACATTTCATATGTTCTCTTATTTTCGAAGGAAAAAAAACACTCAAACAGTAAGTGATAAACTAAATTATGAATTAAGTTTTAAAAAGAATTTCAAATTTATCTTTTTCGAAATAAATATGTTGAAATATTGGATAATGGCTGTAAAACAAATAATTTTATATTAGAAAAAATTTTGAGAATTAAATTTAATGCAATACTTGAAACAATATTTTTTTAATTTATTTTTTATTTATTTATTTTGAAAAAAGTAAGAGACAAGGATCTTGTACAACTACAAAACATTTACGTAAAGTATTAATAATAATTAACTCTCAAAACTTATCCTAACCATGAATATAAAACTAATTAATTCACAAGAGGTGATTATAGTCTACGAAAACGAAAACAAAAATTCAATTATTGTCAAGTAAAACACAAATTAAGAAGAAAATTATTTAGTTTAGTCAAAAAAGTTTTGTTGAAGAATTTTATTGTTGCTGTACATAATTCAACAACAATTAGGGAAAGTCATAATTATTGCATGGAATAAATATCTTTAATAATTATCAGTTTATTTCATGACGACGTTTTCTTGTCCGTTGTAGTTTTTATTAAATGGATTAGAGATAGTTAGGATTGTTTCTAACCCAGCCAATAATTGTCCGCAGAGTAAAACAAATTTCATTTATTCTAATTCTACGTTCTCTCGGGAATTTTTAAAAAAAATTTTTTAAAGAAATCAGTACCTCAAATTAGCATCATTCTCGTAATTATTGTGGACACATAGACTTTAATTCTGCAAGATAAATTCTAATGATAAAATGAATATGCTCTCCATTTTTATTAAATTTAATTTTGATACATCATTTCACTCGCTGCTTCATTAATTTTACATCAAATCCAATTAAAAATCGGCTATATCTTTGTGGATAAGCAGTAACCAGGGTTAAGCACATAGTACATTTCACCTCACTAAAGAAAAAAAATGATATAGTTTTGAATTTTAGATTTGTTGTACATACAGTGTTTAAAAAATTAAATAAATAAATAAACGGACTACCCTGAATAACTTCTGATCTAATGATCGGATCTTCACGTTCTACGACTCATTCTCGATGGTTCACGGGGGTGACTTTAAATAAGCTAATTAATTAGTGCAGACGGTATTTTAAATTAGAAAATCAGACACAAAAACGCACTTATTCTGAATAAACATGCCTTTTTTTAGACGGATTCGGATTTCTGACTCCCAAAACATAAAGGTGTACCCGCATTTGGGGAAATATAGTTTCAATAATTCGGTCAGGAGAGCAGTCGTTATCGAGAGCTGTTTTTTTTTTTTGTCATATCTCTAGAACTTTGAAAGCAAATTGAAAACTTTTTGCTCACGAATATAAAATTAGTTTTTCCAAAGATGATTCCATGCAAAAAAAATAGCTTTTAGTAAATATTTATTATTTTTTTTATTTAATTGTAAGGAATTATAAGGAACATTTTGATTAATTTCATTTATTTTTTTAATTTAACATGGTATTAAAAAATGTGAGCAAAATCAGTCAAATAGTTCCTGAGAAATCAAATTTTTAATATCTGACTTTTTAAAAATTCAATTTCTCAGGAACTATTGGACTGATTTTGCTGTAATTTTGTATTTTGTCATGTAACATTGCAGTCTTTAAAAAGATGCAAAAAAATCGTCAAAATGTTTTCGACTATTATTAAATAAAATAATAAAAAATAATGAATACTTATTAAAAGTTATTTTTTGCATGGAATTATCTTTGGATAAACGAATTTTATAATTGTGTGCAAAAATTTTTAAATTTGCTTAAAAAGTTCTTGAGATATAGCGAAATATGCAAAAAATAAAATTAACATCAAGAGGTCCAAACTTTGGAGCGCTCTCCTGACCAAAACTATAGGAACTATATTTGCAGCTACCTCCTATATTTTTTGGGTCAGAAATCCAAATCCGTCGAAAGAAAGGTATATTTATTCAGAGAAAGTACGTTTTTGTATCTGATTTTGTGACTCAACGTATCGTCTGCACTTATTAATTAGCATATTTGAAGTCACCCCCTCGAACCATTAAGATTGAGTTCTAGAACATGAAAATCCAATCATTCGATAAAAAGTTATTCAGGGTGGTCCGCTTTTTTGGCACACTATGCGTATACTTGATTATTAAGGGATACATTTTTATTCTGACCTACATTACAAATGTGCTTCAATGTGAATTTCATGTTTATTTATAGAATGCGAATTTCAGCTTTTATATAGTATATTTTACGTTAAATAGGCGAAAATTTTATTTTAATTCTTAAACATATATTTTAAAATTAATTGCAGGTATTTGTTATGTCCATATGCTGTGATGTCTTGTGGGGGAAATCTACTGTAACATTTCAAAATTTGATTTTGTCTTCATTTCTGCTTGTTACAGTATCAGGTTGGTTTTATTAATTTATTTTTAATAGATATTGTTTTCCCAATTTATGTATGGCAACCATGAACTCAGACCACTTGCTTGTATGCCCTTTACTGGACAAACAATCTCAAGAGCCGGGTGATCTCTGTAAACTTTACTGGGATGCCAGAGATCACATGAACTCTCTGAAAAGACTACTCCTCATTCTTCATTGTATATATATTTTTTTTTCTTACTTTAATTTTACCTATGTGTTCTTTTTGTGTTAATATGCGTTTGTCATGTGTTTTCTTTGTTTGTCAATGTAATTTTATTCCTTTTTACTCCTTGTTTATGTCCACTTAAAGTTGAACATTGTATATGGATTAATAAATAAAGCCATATGTAACAACATATATGAGGGAATAACAAAAAAATTCTCTCATCTAAAGGTATTATAATTCCATGCAAAAAAATAAATAAATAAAGTTTAATAAATACTTACTATTTAACAATAGTCAAAAAAAATTTTGAATAGTAAATTATAAAAATTTTTACATCATGTTAAAGAATGAAATTTCACAAGGCAAAATACGAAATCTGAGCGAAATGGGTTGTGTAGTTCCTGAGAAATCTAGTTTTAAAAATACAACTCTTTTAAAATTCGAATTCGCAGGAACTATTCGACCGAGATAGGGCAAAAACGCAAAAGATAAAATTATCATTAATGGGTCCAAACTTTGGACTGCCCCCCTGATCAAATTATTGGGATCATATTTCCCAGATTGCAGCTACCTGTTATATTTTTAGGGTCAGAATCCCCGATGCGCCGGAAAAAAATGGAATGTTTTTTCAGGAAAAAGTGCATTTTGGTGTCTGATTTTGTAACTTTAAATATCGTCTGCACCAATTAATTAGAATATTTCAGGTTACCTTCTCCAGCCACTTAGATTGAGTCCTAGAACGTGATGATTTGATCATTAGATCTATTTTTTTTTAACCTGTTGCACGCCCTCAGCCATATACGTTCAGTTTTAATGTTGTTGTTTCTAATATCATTTGTCAATATCAGAAAGACTATTTTTGGTAAAAGCAAGCGAATTTAAGGCAGAGGGTGCATTTCTTGTTTTTCAGCGGAGACATCCACTGCCAAGAATATTACTTCCGCCACACACACGTCACAGCCCGTTTATAGGACGAACCCATTCCTTCATCATCAGATCGTAATTTTGAATCTGAACCAGTCAACGAACAATGTCCAATTCAGTACCCCTAGAGGTATGATTTGTTATGGGAACATGGAGGATTTTGTGAGATTTAACGTGTACCAGTCACCATTCACGGGGACTGACTTCACGACCTCTTGGACATGAGTTTAATACCTTATCAACCAGGCTATATATGTACCCATACTATACTAGTACCCATAAGTTTTTTATGCTAAAAATTACTTCAATTAATAAAAAGAACAAAACTTTAATAGTAACTTATTCTTTACAGAATTCCTCAACAAGAAAAGTAAAATTATTATGGCTTGGCTACACTAATGTTGTTATTTTCAAGGTGCAGAAGTGATATAAAAAGCATAAAGTAATTATTCGGCAGTTAGTACTGTTGAATCATTTTGAACAAATCGTTAATATTTGATTAAAAAACATATCGGATATATTTAGTACATATTAAAATTTATTAATTCGTAGAAACGTAGCAACGAAATTAGCTGTTATTGTTTTCTTTTTTATAAAGCAAAAAAATAATTAACATTAGTGCAAATTTGTGCAGTTATCGTTCGAGCTGTAGCTTTACTTAGTTACAATCGTAAGTATAATTTAACTTTTTATGTAAGCTTTCAACGAAAAGTCTAAATTTTGCAATTTTTACATTTGTGAAAAATATGAAGAACTGGGAAAATCAGAAAGAACGAAATAAATTACCTCTTTTTATCTTTAATATGTAATCTTACCTCTTTTTATCTTTAATATGTAATCTTACCTCTTTTTATCTTAAATGGTAATTATAAATTTTATAAATTACCATTTATACTCAGCGGCCACAAATGTGGATGTTATTTTATGTATTTATTATTTTTATATTGATTTTCCTCTTTTTATCTTTTTATATTTCTATTAATGTAAGATAG